GTCTAGCGTGGCAATGTCCTGGATCCAGAAGGTGGTGTAGGCCCTCAGCCGCTTCTCCAGCACCATGCGCGCGTACACAGCCGCCCTCCTCACAGGATCTTGATCCTTGGCCTCCATGACAGCCAGCTGCCGACCGAAGACGCCCTTGCGGCTGACGGCCCCCGAGGAGGTCATCGTGATCAGGGGCTCGATGACCCCCCCGCTCGCGAGGTGCTCCAGGCCAGGCCCTTTGCTAACCTCACGCCATTGCCACGCTTGAACTGCTCGCAGGAGAATGCGCTTGACCGACCACGGCCCCAGCTCGAAAGCATGAATGTCGTAGCCCTCATGCGTGCGCCACAAGGTAGGGCTCAGCACCTGCCAGCCAACTCTCTCGAGCGTGAGCCTCACCGCGCTGAAGGGGCCCTTGACCTGGCTCCAGCTCGCCGCCTGGCAGCAAGTGAGGCCGTAGGCGATGATATGCTGCGGGATCCAGCACTCCCACGCCGCACGCAGCATCATCAGCACTGGGAGCAGCGTGGCCCTGATCATCGGGTCCAGCATGGGCGTCAGCATGAGCGCCAGCGTGCGCGAGCGACCGTCCACGCTGGGGGCCACTGCCTTGAAAGTCGCCGTGCGCAGCGTGTCCAGCTCCATGGTGGCGCAGCCCGTGACCGCGACGCCGTAGGTCACGCTGGGCTCGATCCCAGCACGGGCCACCTTGCGCACGGCCTTCTTGCGCCCAGCCCCAGTCTTCAGGATGGCCACGCGGCGCTGGCGTAGCCCTGCTTGAACCAGCTTCTCCTGCCGCACCTTGCGCACGATGCGCCTGCCGCAGGCGAAGTCGATGCCCAGGTTGCGCTCGCCCTTGACGGAGAGCACGCCGAGGGGACGGCGTAGCCGAGCGGCCAGGGCGTGCCGGCCTGCTGGGAGGTTGGAGAGCGCCCTCGACTTCTTGACCGCCACGTTGAGGTCGACGTCCAGCAGCAGCATCTTGAGCTCGAACGCTGCTTCTGCCACCTCCTTAGTCACACGCATGAGCCCGCCAACTCGGTGCAGCATGAGGTCGTCCACGACGACGGCCAGAGAAACTGTCGGGTGCTGTATGACCAGTCGATCCAGCGGCCCGATCAGAATGAGCTTCAGCAGCGCCGTCGCGAAGCCATCGCCTGGGAGGATCGACTGCCTGGCCTCGATCACGCTCGAGGCCGCGCTGCCCATGCAGAGGACCCGAGGCGCGCAGTAGAGCTCAAGCGTCAGCTTGAGCTGCCAGAGGGGAAACCCCGTGGCGACGGCGGCGTCCAGCAGCCAGTGGTGGCGCACCTGCTCGAACGCCTTGAGCAGGTCGAGCAGCACCGCCACGGCCACCCACGACTCGGCGTCCCCGCAGTCGGCACCGCGCTGCGTGGCCCACTCGCCGATCGCGGCCTGGTGCCACACCGCACGCTCGCAGCTGCGGCCAGCAGCTGCCCACCAGTAGGGGCGGTCGTTGTCTTGCTCCCACTTGCGCGCGACGCCTCGGCGCAGCCGCGCCTGCACCCTCGCCAGCACCATGATGACGGCGATGGGCCTGACGCCGCCGAGCCGCTTCTGGATGAAGCCGATCTTGGTTGTCATGAGCGGCCAGGCTGCTTCGCGCTCGACGGCCACCAGGATGTCGATCAGCACCTCCAGCGCTTCGTCGCACAACTCGTCCAGCTGCCGCGGCCGAACGGAGCAGAAGGACATGCCCGTGCTGCCCTTGAACGAGCGCAGCACCTTGCGGAGCTCGGGGACTGTGGGCCTGGGCGGCCTCTCGCCGAGGTCGGCTGGCCACTGCAGCCGCACTTGCTCGCAGGTAGTCCTCCACCAGCGGCTCCACTCGACCTCCAGCGCCGTGACCTGCTGCCCCAGGTCCATGGGCTCGAAAAGCTGCTGGTGGTCGTCGGCGTCCTGGTCGTCCTCGGCGTCGCCGTACGGGCAGGAGTCGAACCCGACGGGCAGGCGGGACACCGCATGTAGACCACCTCCACCGCCTTCGGCCTGCTTCTCGACCCAGTGCTGGAACTGGACGGTGCGCTGGGCCATGTCCTTCTCAGCCATGTCGAGCGCCACGGCTTGCGCCCCAGCGTGCAGCTGCAGCAGCTCAGCGGGGGTCAGCGCCGCCAAGCGCAAGTTGCTAAGCAGCGACCACCATGCTACAGCTTGGGGCAACACCTGAGGGCAGGACAGAACCTCGCCAGCATCAGGTGCCGCCTTCACTGTGGCTGGGGCTCTGTCTAGCAGCCTACGCGCACCTCGAAGAGCGTCGAGACGCGCGTTGGGCTGCTCCACGTCGGCGATGTCCCGCAGCAGGCTGGCAGCACGGTGCATCCATGTCGCCTCAGCCGAGACCCGCGGCCAGCGCGCGCCACTCACGGGCAGCCGCCGAAGCCAACGTGGCTCCACGGGGCGAGCTCGCCCCTTGTGCTTGACCCTGTCCTCCTCGACCTGGTAGATGTCGATCCACTCGTCCTCGGCTGCGTCGAGGAACCTCTGCCATGCGGCGGTGAGGTTACCCTTGACGTCGGTGCTACCCTTGACCTGATCCCGCACACACTCCTCCAAGTGGCACGATCTTCCCTCACTCGCGGGCCCCGCAACGGGCGGCGGTGAGGTCCCACGGGAAACGTCCAGGCACTCCGACTCCTGCGCGCCTGCCAGCACGCTCTGCAGCTCGTGGCCGATCTCGGCCCAGCGGTCGCCGTGGGCGACGCGAGCACATCCAGCAGGCCGCTGGACAGGGAAGGGCTTGGGCACTGGCACGACCCGAACCCACGGCCGTTGGCGACACGCCTCCAGCTCCAGGATGACTGGCTTGTGCGGGTAGACGGGCGACCCGCTGACCACGCTGATGCTGGTCACCTTGAGCCCACGCGAGACGATGAACATATCGATCGTCCGCTTCGACTGCGCGCAGGTGGGCTCCAGCGTGTCGACGACGACCGCATCGAAGAGCCGCAGCACGCCTGACTTGGCCAGCTCCTGCTTGGTACAGTTGAAGTCGCCCCAGACCACGTATGGGCGACCGTACTCGCGCAGCCTGCAGGCCAGGTCGCGCAGCATCTGGGCGTTGAACGCGTTGACGCCGACGCCTGACTGCAGGTAGATGTTGGCCATCACGATGCCGCCTCGCAGCAGCCCCGAGTGATGGAGTACTTGCACGCGCCCTTCTTGAAGCACAGAAGGCCGCGACCCCAGCATGGTGGCAAGGCCATGCTCGCTGCGCACACAAGTGAGCAGCCCCCCAGTTGCCAGCCCTCCAGCCAGCGATGGCACCGCGGCTGCACCACATGCTCGAAGCCCTCGACGGCGAAGCTCCCCTTCAGCGTCCGCCGTGCGCGCTTCTCCCAGCCGCGTCTCTTGGAACAAAATTGCGTCGCAGCTCGTCAGCTCCTCGACCAGGCACTTGTCGATGTTCGAATACGCATTCATATTCAACGTGACGAAACGCCAGGAGCTGCTGCGGCTAAAGCTTCCGCCGCTTGGCCTCCATCGCGGCGACGTGCTGTTGCTGCAGGTGGGCCTGCAACTCCTCGAGGAACTTCCGCTTCTCCGCGTCCGTGCCGATGAAGTCCTCCGCCGCGGCCTTGAAGGTGTCGCCCGTCGCGAAACCCAGGGGGTCGCCCTGCAGGTCCATGTCCTCGGACTCGCCCACGGGCTTCTCGGCGGCGTCGTCGCCGGCCCCAGCGGCGGCGGCAGCGCGGCCTGCAGGTGCAGCTCCTCCTCCACATCCTCCAGCAGCGACTGGTTCAGGTGGCGCGGCAAGCGCGGACACACCTGCCAGCAGCGCTTGGAGAGGTCCCAGCAAGGACTCTGGAAGTTGGACGCCCTGGCTCTCCGAAGAGGTTCCCACGAGCGTCCTGAGCTTCTCCACGTTGCCGAGGATGCCGCTGAGATCTGCTCCTCCAGCAGCTGGCTTGGGCTCGGCGCCGTTGGCGAGCGCGGCCTTCGCCTTGGAGACGGCCTCGTCCAGCTCGAGCTGCAGCTGCGTGACCTTCTCCTTCTGCTGGAACGCTGCCTGCAGCGCCTCCGTAACCATCTTCTGCTTCTTGTTGTAGTCCGCCTTGGCCTGCTGGAGCCGCTTGCAGGCCTCGTCGGCTGCGACCTGCGCAGACTTGACGAACTTGACGTCGGACAGCACGCCCAGCTGCTGCTGCAGCAAGAAGCGCGACTGGCGCAGGCTGCGCTTGTCGCTGGCGGCCAGCGTGACGGACAGCAGCTCGAAGTCGTCGTCACTGAGGGCCATGAAGCGGTCGCGGGCCTCGGGCGAGAGCTTGGGCGGTTGCGCCCCCGAGCCCCCGCCACCTCCACGCTTCGGGCTGGCCACCGTATGCCAAGGGCGGGAGTCTGCACCTCCGTCCGCCCACGCCCCACGCGCTGGAGGAGGGCCAGAACGAGGAGCAGGTACACGATTGGTCGGCCTGCAGCCCGTGCACCCCGCTTGCCGACACTTCGCGCGCCAGCCCAGGTTCTTGTAGTGGCAGCGGTCGCAGCGCCAGCTCGTCCCCTGAACTGCGTCACTCGCTGCACCAGCGCCAGCGCCGCCGCCGCCACGAGGCTGAGGAGCCATGCCGCTGCGGCTCGGCACTGGATTGCCGAGCTCCTCACCTGGGGCGGACCAGGCCGAAAAGCTGAAAGACTTGCTGCGGCAGCAGCTTCCGATTGGCCTGGAGGCTGAACAGCCTCCCAGGAGGTCATCTTGAGCCAAAATGGCTACGGAGGAGGAGGAGGAGGAGGGGGAGGGGGAGGAGGAGGAGGAGGAGGAGGAGGAGGAGGAGGAGGAGGAGGAGGAGGAGGAGGAGGAGGAGGAGGAGGAGAGGAGAGGAGGAGGAGGAGGAGGAGGAGGAGGAGGAGAGGAGGAGGAGGAGAGGAGGAGGAGGAGGAGGAGGAGGAGGAGGGAGGAGGGAGGAGGAGGAGGAGGAGGAGGAGGAGGAGGAGGTGGAGGAGGAGGATGAGAAGAAGTCTCCTCAAACGCCGCCCCCTGGCCGTGGGCGGCGGGCCTGTCTCGGGCACGTCCGCCGCCGCGGCCTGGCTC